GTTCTGTGTACAACAGCTGAATACTTTTGCACAGTTCTGTGTACAACGGCTCTTTTTCTGCTGCTGAAAACACAAATGTTGTCCTGGGGTCTCTGTCCTGATCATCACAACTCAAATCAAAGTTTGTGTGACAGACTCTGATCTTCTTGAATATGGAGTTAAAGGAATATTCCGTATATTTTAAAGTTGGGTTTCTGTAGATGGGAACAAAAGCTTATCTGTTGTGATTAGCTCTTTGAATGACCTCTGTTTGTAGAAATAACTTTTAATAAAAAATAAAAACCAGTGAAAATGCCCTCCCATAGCACAAGCTAAAGCTAGCTGCTGCTGGCAGATATTTACATAACTCTGTGTAAAGTGGAAAAATATATTACTGATGTTTTTCTTTATAATTTGTGTTTTGTTGGATGTAACTGGGACCCTGTGTACACAGTTTCATCCCACCTCATGTACCACATGTGTATGACAAATAAATCTCTCTGAAAAAGTGTTTCTGAAATCTTTGAGATGGAAGTTGTTTTAGCACAGAAACAATATCAGTGTTTGCATTAGCTGTTAGCTTGGTCCTGATGGACACAATCTCTGCTTGTTTCCAGTATCCATAACAAGTAAGATGTTATTTATTCAGAACATTATTAAAGAAACCAGCTTCACAGTGGCTAAAATGTTCCCTCATTGTTGGGATACTATTTTTAGGTTGTATTTTCACTCAACATTTGGAACTAATCATTTGTTTATCACACATTTGTTGCTCTTTAAACAACTTATACAGTTTCAAAACTTCATCAGGAGGTCCAACTAAGTTAAGTCGGGTCCTCTGGACAGTTTCTTTGTGTTGAAACATTTCATCTTTCATCCGAAGGACTTCATCAGTCCCAGGAGCCACAACAAACTCAACCAGTGGGTCAACCAGTTTGATGGTGCTAAGATGGTTCTGGAGTCCGCCCTCTCCCCTGTCGGCTCCTCTGAGGCGGCCATGGCCAGAGCGGTTCAAAACATCAAAGTTCATGCTCAGAAATCCAGGTAGAAAAATCCAACCAAGTGAGGTCAGATCCTCTGCATGGTTTCCTTGGAAACATTTCGTGTTTCATCCAGGTTCTCACTGAGCAGGAACTTTGATGTTCATTAGGAGGCGCTGGTTTTGATCTCATGGTTGCTGCTGTGACTTATGATTAAATATTCCCAAACGATTAGTGCAGGACAAGACGCACGCTCCCAAGTTCTGAGTATAAAGGACAGAGAAACAGTTCTGCGGTCATTTGTACTCACGGGTCCTCTCCACAAACACTTTTGCGGGTGGCTGGCTGTGTGCGTGAGGGGCAGAGAACAGGGAATGTTGTGGGATGGGAGACTGAGTTTGGGAGACGATGTCATCATCTTCAGCTCCCAGGTCGCTGCTGTGATGCTCGGACAACTTCAGCTTCCTGAGACACAATATAAGAACATCAGAGCAATCTATTCAGTCTGCTTCAGCCACAGGACAGCTGCTGTCCATAAAAGACTCACGAGAGAACGACTTGAACCCATTCAAGACGTGGACAAAGTAAAAGTGGAGATTTTGTCACTACTTAATATTCAAAACAGATTTTGTGCTTTAGGTAAACCATCTAATTTACTATTGTGTCTGTGACACTGTTTGTGGTGAATTAATAAAAGACTGTGCTAATGAAACGCTGGTGAAAATGAAAATGAGGAAAACCTCTGGACTTTTACGCTTTTATCTTTAATTCTGCTCATGTTGCAATAAAACACCTCTGCATATATTCACAACTTCATCATTGATCATTTACACTAACCTCTTCTTTTTGGTCTTCCTGGTGACGGCCACCGTGGGTTCCTCTCTGTCCATGATGGGCTCAGCAGAGTTCCCATTTGGAACGTCAGAATGCTCCGTTTCTTGGTCTAAAAGCACAAAGCAGATCAATTAATACACTTTAACTTTCACTACAATATCACAGTGCACGTTTCTCATGTCTGTAAGAAACCAGAGGGGCACCTGTGGAGAGACACCATGAAACACATGGACAAAGACAAAAGAGAGAATATTTGAGAGATGTCTGATTCCCATAAACCAGCTTCTTGTCTGAGGCATCAGTAGTTCAGCCGAGCTCTGTCAGTAAATGTGTGATTGCAGCACAAGACCCTAAAGACCCCTAAGCAAAACAAAAACAAACAAACAAAAATGCATAAGCAAAGGTTCTTGACTACAAACAGATGAATGTTCCTCCTGGTTGAAGGTGTTTGTGCCTCCAACAGAGGAACTCAAGTACCGTATTTTCCGGTGTATAAGTCGCTCGGGAGTATTCAGACAGGTTGATCCCACTGAGCCTCGGGGACTCCTTGACAAGAGAGACCTGAGAGTATAGGTCGCATCAGTCAAAAAAAGCATCACGAAGAGGAAAAAACATATAGAAGTTGCTTCGGAGCATAAGTCACGTTCATTATGCGTCACCGCTGACCCCCGGGAAACGTGGGCCGGTGTCGTGCCAAAAATCGATTGGCAGCCGCGGGAGCGTGCACGGGAGGACTCGCTGTTGCAGTTCTTCCAAAAATTAAACAAGATTAAAACTTACAATTATTTGTTTGCTTGACATTATAACAAAAGTGTGTCTCAGTTTAACTTTTTGGGTGGTGGTACAGGAACAACATATACATCTACTGGAAGTTGTCCAAAGCCCAGGAGGCCTCTCGTGCCTCTAGCAGCTGCAGATGCTAATGTTTACTCTGGTTCACGTCAGTATGAATGAACATTTAAAGTATCAGTCAAAAATTACATCATGAACAGGGAAAAAAACAAAAACATATAAGTCACTTCAGTGTATACGTTGGCAAATCTATGCAAAAAACTGTGACTTATACGCTGGAAAATATGTTCTGGACGTCTGGTCAGGAAGTCTTCTGGGTCTTTCCTCTGCAGATTCTTACGCCTCATCCCAGCAGAACTAAAGTCCAACATATAAAGTTGAACCACAGCATGAGGTTTCTCATGTGACCTTGTATGATTCAAACTAAAATGTGTGGCTGGATCACAGATGTTTGGGTGCTGGTCAGGAGGAGCTGTAATAACAGTGTGGATTGCTCTTTGGACACCGTCGTCATATTTCATATTTAACTGGCTGTTACTTTGTGAGGAAATATGATCCATTTGTGTCAAAACCCGCTGGCTGTGATGTAGTACAGTATCAACACATTGTATGTGACATGGTAAATGCAACACATCCTCTAACACGGTCACTTATTAAGTTGTTTTTGTGTTTAAGTACAATGGAATATAAAAGTTACTAACTATAATAGCTCAAGGTATCACTGCCTCAGAGTATACTGTGACTGAACGTCTCGTCTCACATCAGTAGTAGCTGTACACGCTACATCACTTGACAATTTTTGTAGGTTTAGGAATGTTAGACACAAAATTACAAAAAAATAAAAACTAAACAAAGAAACAAAAGCAAAAAGAACAAGTCATCACTGAACAACATGTTGTGGTGTTGCAAGATTGAATTAAGGAAAACTAAGCAGCGTGTGGATCAGCTTCAGTTCTGTTCCGCTCTTCCTCGTCACCCTGCGTACAGCATCTGCTAACGTACTCTCTCACAGCGCCCACTAGTGTCCTTTCTATGCAACAACAACTCAGTGGAGGGCTTTGCTGAAAGAGGATGAAAAATCCATCCATCATCTTTACCCGCTTCTTCCATTTTGGGTCATGGGGGTCGCCGGTGCCCATGTCCAGCAATCACTGTGCGAGGGGCGGGGGACACCCTGGACATGTCTCCAGTCCATCACAGGGACACATGGAGACAAACAACCATTCACTCTCTCACCTAGGGACAATTTAGAGTTACCAATCAGCCTAACATGCATGTTGCTGGTCTGTGGGAGGAAGGATGAAAAGTCACAACCATTTAATGGTCTTTTAGTGCACGTCAGCACTGTGACCAGATCCTCAGGCTGAATGTGATCTTGAAGAGCTCCTCTATGGCTCACTACTCATTTAGTTCTTTACTGGATTCTTTAAATCACTTTTATGACTTTGCCAATTTGTTCTAGATTGAAACAATTCGTCTCATTCAAACAAACTTGGACATTTTATCCATATTTTACCAAAAGTGTGATTTTAAGACAGTGTCAGTTTTGACAATGTTTCAGTTTGTTTTAGTTTATAACATTTTAAATATACTAGCATACTTGAGCTTTGTTAGATTGTATGATGTCTATTTATTTTTAATTTTTTTTACCAATTTAGGACAAAAATTTACTGAAGCCTAACCTCCATTCACAAGTAACTTTGAATAAAATGATCCAATGATCTTCCAACCAGTCAGATGTTTTATTTTTTGTGTAAAAGTTAATAAAACTGTAAATACCAATGGTTGACGTCTTCTTCTTTTTCTTCTTCTTCTGTGGTGCTGCATCCTGCAGGTCTGGGCTCAGAGGTTCCTTGCTGTCAGAGTTACTCCTGTTGGTCCTAGTCTCCATCTCCACCTCGGTTCCTGCTGCAGCAGAGAGGTAAAGAACAGGTTCTGCAGAGTCCAGCAGAACCGCCAGGTGCTGCAGGTTCTGCTCGCTCACCTTCTCCCTGCTCCTCTGCATCAATGACCTCGTTCTTTACCTTCTTCTTCTTGCTCTTAACGGTCGGCATGCTGACGTTCCTCTGTGAGAGAAATTGTTTTCATGTAATTCACGTCAATGTGAGGCCTCTGAGTGCAGCAGAACGTCTGGATGAATGAATGAGTTCAGTAAATGAAGAGGATTTTAAGGAGGCCGGGTGCTGAGGGCTGATGGAGGTAACTGGATTAGTCAGAGCTCAGAAGACAGGTGGTGGAAAAAAGCTTCAGAAAACAGGTCACAAAGCAGAACACCCTGCACCCTGAAACCAAACTATCGTCTTTTTTGCCGTATAAGTCACAGTTTATGCATAAATGAGCATGCCTGCGACTTAAACAGCGAAGCAACGTATTGATGTTTTTTACACATTGTTACACATATTTGGACCGATGTGACTTATACGGCGGTGCGACGTGTACGGTGGAAAATACGATAAATCACTTTCAGTTTTTCTTTACGTGTTAAACATCATGAACTTTCTGTTTTGTTCTGTGTGTGGTGCCTCATTGTGTTCTGACATGAAGCTTCTGCCTAAACTTTTGATTTGCTGCAACCACAGTTTGGGGAAACTATTGAGAAAACCCAGCTTTTCTTTGGGAACTCATTAGTTCAGAGATGTGTAACGTTCTTATTCACATATCCTGATGCATGCTCAATAATCCAGGTAGAAAAATCCAAAAAAGTTAAATCTGGTCCTCTGGACATTAAAAAACAACAACAAAAAAAACCCCAAAACAAAGCAAAAAAATGTAGAAATGTTTCATCTTTCATCCAAGAGACTTCCTCAGTCTGAGGAGCTGTATTCAGCTCAGTCTCTTAAATAGCACCTTCTTAGAGTGGATCAACCAGTTTGCTGCTGACAACCAAAACCAGCTGATCACATGCTCAAGAAGGACCATCAGCCTAACAATGGATCATTAGCACACTGATGGCTGTTTACTGTTCACAGAGGGCTGAGTGATACTAGCAATCACAGCATTGTAAGAGGGGGACAGTTGAACCCGGAGGCCTCCA